TAATAATAATAATAATAATAATAATAGAAGATTGTAACATAAAAAGATGGTAAACAATAATCAATATTATTAAATTTATTATTAGTAATTAAATATAGAGAGAGAGAGAGAGAGATATAAATGATAAAGTTTGTAACGGTTTTTGGAGGGAAATCGGAATGAGGTTTTATTAAATGTTATTAGCCAACAATTATATATATATATAGATTATCGCATCACCATTTCAATTACCGAATCGAATAAGTAATTTTATGAAATGTTAAATTATACTTATATTGTTTTTTTTTATCTTATAACAATACATAAAATAATAAAAAGTAAATTATTTGTATGTAAATTTATACCCTAAGTCTCAATAATATTGTATTTTGTTATAGCATTTACTATATAAATATATATATATATATATATATATATATACATATTTTTACTTTTTATAATAAAAGGTTAAAAAAAATTAATGACCGGGCCAACCAAGTTGACTCGGCTGGGTCAATACCCCAGTCGACGAGGTCAAGGCCGGATTGATCGGATTTGACCGAATCCCTTGCTACCCTCAAACTACTCAACTGGACAGATCTCGGCCACGGTCAACCTGGCTGGGTCAACCCGCAGGGCCGTTCTAGAACTATGCTAGCCCAATCTGAAATCAGATCCCCCTTTGATAAAATATTCACACGTCGTTGCTTGCATCATACCCACCAATCATATATATAAGGTCGGGTTAAAGTGAGAATGACGCTCAAATAAAGATATATGAATACATCTCAGCCGTTAGATCAAATGATCTAATGACTTAAGAAAACTAAAATTATATCTTTATTAAGGTAGTATGATATTTTTCCATACCCAAGCAGTAGGACCCAAGCCACCACACTACTACTTACACGTGGGGCCCACCTGCCACCTCACACCTCTCTCTCTCACATACACACACACAACACACGCATCCACACTCACGACACACAACACACACGCACATCATGTGGCAATCACAGGTCGTCTCTGTCGACCTACACGGCTGCACCGCCGGCGGCCCACCAAGCGCCATCACCGCCGGAGCATCCTAGCACCGCCGCCCGTCATCACCACCGGCAATACGATTTTCTTTTTCCAGCTAGCATCAAAGACGATGACGCTTACCCTTGCATTAATCTCCAAAATCGACTTAAAAGACGCAACCCTCACCGACACTTTAGATCACTTCAATTTCGCCTCATTCCCTTATCTCAAAATTTTCGACCTCAGTGGCAACAATTTCAACGGCTCGATTTTGGCCCGTATTGGCAGCCTCGCCAGGCTCACTCGATTGGACTTGGGCAGTAACAGTTTCGGAAACTCTATCCCCAAAGAGATTTTCAGTTTGACTAATCTCAATCAAATGAGCCTCTACAACAACAACCTCAACGGAGTGATCCCTTCCCAAATCGGCAATCTTCGGAAGTTGGAGTTTCTGAATCTTGCCTCCAATTACCTGGAGGTACCCGATTCATCGAAAATCCAAAGCATGCCCGTGTTGCGCCATCTTGATCTTAACCTTAACGAGCTCACGTCCGAATTTCCATCTTTCATTTTGAAATGTCCCAACCTCACTTATCTCGATTTGTCAAGCAACAGCTTGTCCGGTCGTATTCCTGAATCTTTGTTCAGTAATTTGGTTAAGCTTCAATATCTTAACCTCAGCATGAATTCCTTTGAAGGCCAATTGTCCAAGTATATCTTCAAGCTATCAAATTTAATCGACCTCCGATTGGCAGATAACCTCTTCTCAGGCGAAGTACCTTATTCCTCTAGCTTACCACGTAATCTTGAAATTCTTGAGTTGCAGAACAATTCCTTTGCAGGAAAAATACCATCCTCTGTAGGGCAACTCACGAATCTAAAGCGGCTCGACCTTAGCATGAACATGTTGAATTCGACAATACCTGTCGAGCTCGGTCAATGCACTAAGTTGACTTATTTAGCTCTGGCCAAGAATTCCCTTTCTGGGCCTTTGCCTCTGTCATTATCCAACTTTGCCTCTGTCACTAAGTTGACTTATTTAGCTCGGATAATGATTTGTCCGGCACAATCCCGCCTCGCTTTCTAACCAACTGGGCCAAACTGACATCACTGTAGCTTCAGAATAACAATTTAAGCGGCAGAATTCCATCGGAGATAGGAAAACTGACAGACCTCAACCTCCTCTACATCTACAACAACAATTTGTCGGATGAAATCCCACCAGAGATAGGGACTTTAAAGAAAATCTTGCAGCTAGACCTTTCGTCCAATCGCCTCTCTGGAAAAAGACCCTCGACCATCGGAAACCTCAAGAATCTCACACACATTAGCCTTTTCTCCAACGAACTCGCCGGAAATATTTTGCCTGAAATCGGGAATTTGAATTCCCTCGAAGTTCTTGATCTCAGCCAAAACCGGTTGAGCGGGTCCTTACCAAACTCCATCTCCAACCTTTCTAAGCTTACTTACTTATCCGTTTTGAACAACAATCTCTCAGGACCCATCCCTCAAGACCTGGGAAAGAAGAGTTCCCAACTGGCTGGCATAAGCTTGTCAAACAATAGCTTTTCAGGCCTTCTGCCGCCAAACTTATGCTACGGCCTAGCCTTGGAAACCTTCACTGTCAACATGAATGGATTTTCGGGCCCCTTGCCGCACTGTATCAGGAGTTGCCGAGGCCTGAAGAGGGTGCGTCTCGAAATGAATCAGTTATCTGGTGACATTTCAGATGCATTTGGCATTCATCCGCAACTCGAGTTCTTAAGCCTGAGTTGGAATCGGTTCACCGGCCAGATTACGCCCAAATGGAGAAAGAGTGAGAGCATCACGGATATTCAGATGGGTCACAACAACATATCAGGCCCTATTCTAGCTGAGTTAGGTAGTCTCGAAAAACTCCGCGTTCTAGACTTGAGCTCAAACAAATTGACGGGCAACATTCAGGTTGAACTTGGAAAGCTAAACCGATTGCTTAGTCTCAATCTCAGTGGCAATCTTTTGAAAGGACAAATTCCAAGGGAGATGGGGCAGTTGAGAATGGTTGAGTACATTGATCTGTCGTGAAATCAACTCCTGGGTAAAATTCCAGGAGAAGTTGGGAATCTGATTCACTTACTAGGCCTCGACTTGAGCAGTAACCGTTTAACAGGGAAGATTCCGAACAAAATAAGCGGATTAAAGAGGCTGCAATATTTCTTGGACCTCAGTAACAATAGGTTGTCGGGGGAGATTCCTTTGTCGTTGGGGGCCCTCGCTTATTTGGAGAGTTTGAACCTGTCGCATAACAATCTTTGTGGCAAAATGCCTAAAGCATTGTGTGGTATGGTGAGTCTGAGGGATATGGACTTTTCGTACAACAACTTATCGAGAGGGAGTCCTAAAGAGATTTATGGACCGTCGTCTGGGAAGGGATCACTTACCCATTGCATGCTCCTCCAAAAACAAGCTAGAGTATGTTTTTGTTAGTGGAATAAGGCTCTTATGTGTAATAAGCTAGTTCAGGTAATAAGAATATGGCCATTTTGTCTAATTTAAGAGCATTCATGTGCGTATTATTCTACTTATGTTAAACAGTTTAATACTAAAAATGTTGAGGAGGACTAGAAAAGAATGCCTTAATACAAAGAACGAAAATTCCAATAATCTTTCATATTGTCCAAGAATCATAACGTTCACACAAGAAGTCATACACATTACAGTCAAAAGAAGGGTGATCGTGTTTGTACTCCTCTTTGGACTTGATGCAAAATTTTCAACATTTTTATCCCACCCTTAAAATTTTGTAGTTTGAATAATATTCAGAAATGAATTTGATTTGGCTTCGGCAAACTCATAGATATTTAAAGGAATTTAATTTTAGGGAAAAAAAAGGATATAATATCCAAACCTATTTTCAAAGGCACAAATTTGGGATTAATTGTGAAAATTTTCTACTTCTTCACTACCTCGATGCAACTTTCTTTTTTTTCCTCAAACCATAAATTTCATTGCAAACTCAAAGAAAATACAAAGTCCGGTAATCAAGGGATTACAAACGACTACGGGGATATACATGCACAGCCATCCCCTAACACAACCATACTGGTCATATCCAACCTCAAAACCACAGACAAAAAGAAAAAACAGACACAACAAAAACAAAGCACTAAACATGAATAGACACGAAAGCTACACCTATCTAGCTTTAAAGAAGGAACAAGCTTGAAAGGAGGATTGAAGGTCCCAAATATCCTCAGCTACAACACAAAGAGAGACCGACAGTGGGCTTTTGGATTGGAGAGCTTTATATAAAACCTCATTTTGGAGGTATATCTTAACATGTTGCCAGCCTTTAGATGCTCCATATATCAACCATTTCCTTACTGACAGTGCCTCATCCTCCATAGAAATTCTGCCCACCACTTCCAATTCCAATTCCCATCTGTCCACAACAGCATCCTCTATTATTGCAAGTCCCCTTAGCCTCCCCTGATTTCCAGAAAATTCAGTAGCACTGGTAGCATTTAACTGCTCCCCTACTCCATGATTTTCTGGAGTTTCTTGATCTGAAATCGATTCTCCCAACATATCCTTGGACTCTATTTCCCCTTGTAATATGCTTTTATATTCAAGCCACTCACCTCTGGCTGTCTCCACCACTTGAAATTCTGAAGTTTTCTCTTTTTTGAATATTCATCCATTCTTTGTTTTCCAAATCCACCATAACAAGTATGTGGATAAGGAAATTATGTCCTTATTGTAATCCGTAGCCTTCAGTTTGCACAGGTCCATCCACCATTCCTGAAAACAGATATCTGTAGAATTTAACCTCTCCCAATGCAACCCTGCTATCTTCCATGTCTTTTGTGCCCTGTCACATTTGAATAGCATATGTTCTAAATTCTCCCTCTCCTCTCCACACCAGCAACATATCTCATCAACATTCAAACCTTTTCTCTTCAATTTGTCTTGAGTGCCCACCCATCCATGCCAGCACCTCCACAAGAAATTTTTTACCTTTTGCTTGATTGGAAGTTTCCACAGCCTCTTCCGCATTTGTTGTATTTTGATCAGTTCCTGAGCTA